CCCCAAATTCCCTGGCCTCTTCAGCCAGGTGGTGATAATAAAGTAACTGTGGACCCTCTTTGCTAAAGCTGTAAATCTGATGAGAGTCAGTGTTTTGGTGAACCAGTCCCCCCTGATGTTAAACAGTGCTCCAGTTGGCTAACACAGTAAATACTGACCAGTGATTCAGTGAACACATAGAATGATATACTCAACTACGTAAACATAATTGTAACGTATAAGTAAGCAAACTTATGTGTGCTCTAAACTAAATCTTAACTATGATAGAATTACCATACGCAAACAAAGTAAACACACAAGTTGACTAATCAACAAGCATAATGTTAATCTTCTACTAATTAAGTTCTTAATTCATCAAATGTTAGAATCAACCTTAAAGTATGACTTTGTTAATAATTTTACCCAACAGAAGTTAAACTCAGTGAACCATTAGTTGGAAAAGATATGGTCAAACATACCAGAATATTGAGATTGTTCCAACAGTGGAGTCAGACTCGATAGGCAAATAACTCAAGGTCCCGAAAACTCCAGACCTAAGGTACTTTAATTTAGTTTGGGAGCAAAATCAGCTGACATAAGGACCCAAAGGAAGGTCAAAGTTTGGACTTTGATATTTCTCCTAATTAAACTTAAGACTTTTAGTACCACACAATACATTTTAATGTTATTTACTGTTCTAATGGTCAAAGAATGATGCTATAGGCTAATGATAAAGGACATATCATTGCTTCCCCCCACTACACAACAACCGTATCAGCGATCTGTTAAAATACAAGGGATCTGACTCCAAATAAAACTGAATAAGATGGATTGAAAAAAAAACTGAATAAGTAGAAAACAAGAAGACAAACAACCATCTACTGATAAATATGTGTACAGTTAAAATGACCTATTTGGTATGTACAATGGTTACTTCTCTAAGTTACTGCTCTGTAGTGTTTGTTGTATCTTATTATACATATAAACATGGGCTAAATGTTGATCAGTGCATGGCCCACGGGAAGAAACTGTCCTTGTGTCTGGTTGTTTTGGCATACAGTGACCTGTAGTTCTGTCCAGAGAGGAGGAGTTCAAACAGTTTGTGGGTCTGCAGAAATCTTCTCTGCCTTTCCCTCTCAGAGTGCAGGTTTACTTGTGGTTCCTAGAGTCCACAGAAGCAGAATGGGAGGCAGAGCCTTTAGCTATCAAGCTCCTCTACTATGGAACCAACTCCCAGTCTCAGTTCTGGAGGCGGACACCCTCTCTACCTTTAAGATTAGACTTAAGACGTTCCTTTTTGATAAAGCTTATAGTTAGGGTGGATCAGGTGACCCTGACCTTTCAGAAGAACTTGTGAAGATAAAGAAATGGTGTGACAGTAATTTACTATCTTTGAATTTGGAGAAAACTAAATACATGGTATTTGGGAATTGTAGACCACATAATGAACTTCAATTAAAAATTGGGGGTGCTAACATTGAACGAGTATATGAAATCAAATTTCTGGGTGTCATGGTTGATGACAGATTCTCCTGGAAATCTCATAGCAGATGTGTTCAGCATAAAATAGCTAAAAATATATCGATATTGGCAAGGGTTAGATATATGCTGGACATGAAAGCATTACACATTTTGTATTCTTCATTGATTTTACCATACTTAGAGTATGGCGTTGAAAACTGGGGAAATACATACAAAAGCTCACTTCAACCATTGTATATATTACAAAAAAGAGCGATAAGAATTGTGCATAAGATGGGGTATAGGGAGCACACCAATGGAGCTTTCATACAGTCTAAATTGTTAAAATGTTTTGATTTAGTGGGATATAAGACTGC